GGAGTGGAGGCTGACACATGGGGAAGCTGGTTACAACCCCCCTCCCAGCTCCTGGGGACCCCACAGCCCTCACCCTCACCCCCCGCCCTGTCTCTGCCACATGCCTCCCCCCACAGCACTGTCCTTCCCCCCCCGCCCATTTTGGCTCCCCCCATCCCTGGCTCCCACTATCCCCATTAATACCACCCCTCCTTTCCACAGCAGCCCCATGGCTGGACATGGCCCCCGCCAACCCACTACTCCCACCCAAGCATCCATTTTCTGCCTGCCACACCCACTTCCTGCCACCCACTCCATACCTCTTCCCACAATCCCCAGCGCTGCCCCCCTCCAGTCCCAGGGGTCTCGGACCCCTGCTCCCTCCCCTTGGCTCAGCTTCTGCCTCTTCTGGGGGTTTCTACCCTTCCCAGGCCAATCCAGGGCACTCCCTAGCACTGACTTCCTGCTGCCACCTAGTGGCAGTAGCTGGCCACTGCACCCTAGACTCAGGTGTTGAGGAGACAAGGGAGCACTGGCTCTGTACAGGGGCGCTGATGGGAGGGGGAGGAAATGGACCCAGGGGAAAGTTTTTTGGGGGGCAGTGATAGGGATGAGGTAGGGCTGGAGGAGCAGCAGAAGCACCTGGAGAGGATTGGGAGGGGGTGGGCGGAATAACTTGACCTTTCATAGGCTTTCCGGGAATGGGAAAGGTCAGCTCCTGGGGGATCTGGCCTCATGCCAGCCCCTGAGGGTCCTGCCTGGAAGTGGGCTAGTCACAGAGGCTGGGACAGGGGTGGTAATCAGCCAGGAAGGGGAGGGTCCTCTAGCACAGGCCTGTCCAGTATCCCTAGTCCCTGGCATGTTGTGGGAAGGAGAGGCCCCTGTCCCCAATCCTGCTAAGGTCACTCCCATAGGGGGATCTCGAGGCCTGCACCCTGCTCCTGGCTGGCAGCTGCACCCACCCTCCCCCCATCAGGTCTGGCTCTGTCCTGCCCCATCCCCTAGGGTCTCATGGCCACAAGGGGGATGCTTACTGGGACCCCAACCTAGAAGTCTTGCAAGGTGACTGGGTGTCAGGGTTGCTCTTGATAGCCTCAGATTATCTCTGGGAGCCAGGAACAGCCACACCCAGGACCAGTGGCCAAAGTAGGGCACTCTAGAACCAGGGAATTGGGTAGGGGAACCTAGAACCAATGCCCTGAGGGGGACTATATGGAACGGGTACCCTTCATTGGGACATCTAGAGCCAATGGTGTGGATAGTGGCATCCAGAACCAGCATCCTGCCTAGGGGACCTCTACAACAAATGCCATTGGTGGGGGGGGAATCTAGAACCAAGGTAGAGGTATCTAGAACAAATGGTACCTACCACCAAGTTATCTAGGAATGGGGTATCTAGCACCACACTCCTATTTAGAGCATCTAGAACAGGTGTCAGGCATTGGAGTACTCAGAACCAGTGGCTTTGAGAGCCTCTAGGTTACACTTTAGCTGGGTAGGTATCTAGAACAGAGAGTGGTGCTTGTGATATCTAGAACTGGCAGCTGGGACTGGTATATTGAGAGCCCTGAATGAGATGCCCCAGCTCCAGGGAGTCTGGGGAACAGGTCTCAAACTAGATCTAATTGACCTTAATACAGGAGCAGACAACCAGAATTGAAAATAGTTCTGGGAAGGGAGTGAAGGATAGGAGCTAGTGGGTTGGAGTGGGGGGCACTGTGAGCCAGGATGCCTGGTTTCTCTCCCAGATCTGGGAAGACGAGCATGGGTCTGCTGGGCTAGAGGTGAGAAGAACTGAGAGGTCAGGACTCCTGAGTTCTGTCCCAGCTTTGGAAAGGGTTGAAGCAGTGGGGGCTGGGAGCCAGGATGCCTGGGGTCTACCTCAGCTCTGGGAGTGGGGGGAGATCCAGGCAGACTCAGGCCTGTTTTGTATATTGTATTTGGGGGCTTGAGGGAGGGTCTCAATACATTTAGACAGCAGCTGGTTGAGGTCTGAACTGATGCACATAGACCAGCACAGCCTGGTGCCTCTCAATTCTGACCCCTGCCCCCCCGCCCCCCAGCCCTGAGGTGCCCTTCATCCTGACCCCCCAGCCCTGCCAGTGACCCTCACTCCTGACCCACAGCCCCCTGCCCCACCTCCCCTTGCACCTAGCTTTGCCAGTGCCCCTTGCACCTAGCTTTGCCAGGTGCTTGTGGAGGGCTGATCTCCTGACTGAGGGCTACTGCTTCCGTTTAGTCAATAAATATTTCTCCCAAGATAACAGCTCACTACCCGGAAGCCGGGGTGTTTCCGCCTGGTGCTGGGAAGCTCTGGGAACCCCTTACCCTAATGCCAGGCAGCACCAGGCAGCTGGGAGTTCCCCCCACAGCAAGGAGGAAACAGAGGGGGCTTCTCAATGCACCTCACTCCCAACCTGCAGCCCCCTGCCCCACAGCTATGCCAGTACCCCTCACTCCTGACCTGCAGCCCCCAAACCTTCCCCAGTCCTGACTGTTCTGCAATCTCCTACCCCGCCCCCCATGCCTGTTTCCGCCTGTTTATCCTCTCAAACCCTTCCCAAAGTTCAAGGAGCCAAGGGGAAAAATATAAACAAGTTCCCGGGTCCAAAAATAGACCCAAATGCCCCCCCACACACACACACCCTCCTGCCCCCTCCCCACCAACGCCTGCCTCATCCCGGCGTGGGAGCACTGAACATACAGGTGGTTTCTAAAAGGAGGCCGAACAATGGCCCAGCAGCTTCCTGCAGCCGCATCCGGCCCAGTTTCCCCTCCCCATGTGCCATGGCTCACGCAGTGCTGCCTGCCGGGGGCTGGCAAGGCCACCACACTGCTCAGAACAGCCCCTCTCCACTGCTCCAGTCTGCAGGGCCTTTATGGTCTCTAGGCCCGGCCAGTCCCTAAGCTTGGCCAACTTGGGGTCCTTCCCAGCCCCCTATTCCCAGCCCATGGGGTCTGGCTGCTTTGGCATCCACACCTGCACCCCCGCCCCGTTCCCCTTCCCAGCTGCTTCCCCCACTCCCCGGTCCCTCATTGTTCCAGCCCCCACCCACCCCACACAAGGAGCATCCGTGTTTTTTCCTGTCTGGGACCTTCCAGCTGCTGAGGAAGACGGATGATGAGCAATGACAAAGCAGAAGGGAAGAAGTGCTCCCCCCGCCCCACAACGGGGTTGGGAGAACCCAGGAGTCCAGGGTCTCAGCACCCCCCAGCTCTAACCCACAGACCCCACTGCCATCCCAGAGCTGGGAAATAACCCAGGCTGAAGGAAATAAAGAGTTTGTTAACAAAGGTATCTTCACCTACTTCAAACTGGGGCAGCCAGTCACTGCCCAGACAACTGAGTTCTCTCCCAGCTCTGCTGCTCCTCACCACTGAGCTGCAGCCCCCTGCTTCCCCCCACAGCCCTGTCGGTGCTTCTCAATCCCAACCCACAGTCCCTTGGTCCTACAGCTCTACTGGTGCCCCTCTGTCCCAACCTGTAACCCCAAGACCCGCCCCCCAGCCCTGCCAGCACCCCACAACCCATTGGTGCTCATGGATTGGAGCAGGGGGCACTGGGAGCCAGGACACCTGGGTTCTCTCCTAGCTCTGGGAGGGAAAGGTGGATTGGAGCAGCAGGGCCTGCTAGTCCAGACTCCTGGGTTCTGTCCCAGCTTTATGGGGCAGTGAGGTGTAGTAGGTTGGAACAGGGGACACTGGAGCCCAAATGTGGGTTCTCTCCCATCACTGTTCTCTCTTTCAGGCTGGGGGGCAAGGGGGTTCTTTCCTGCTGGGGGAGGGCAGATAGGGGAGTGCTACCTTTTGAGGGGGATCTCTTCCTACTTCCCCATGTATCTTCTCTGCTCATGCCCTGGCCTGGCCCAGGTGCCAGCAAGGGGGCGGGAGTTCTCATTGACTCCCCCAGACTTCCAGGAAGGCTGGTTGGGCTGAGCCAAGTTTCACTTCATTGCCTGGCTGCTCTGGGCTGGGGCCAGCTCACCTGGGGTGGAGGGCGGGGGGATGTGGGAGCCACTGGAGCTGTTCGGGGATTGATATCCCCCAACCCTGATGACCACCTCACCCCAGAGCTCCCCCCCACTTCCAGGCTGAGCCCCATGGCAGTGGGTGAGGGTTGATGGGGTTGAGGGGTTATATGAGGCATCCATTGAGAGGGTTGGGATGCGGGGGGGCATTAGCACGTCCATCTACCCCAGGGCACTGGCTCCCCACCTAGTGTGAGGGATGAGAGGGCCTATGAGACACCCTCCCCCACCCCCCACCCCCGCTTCCCCAGCACTGCCAGCTCCTCCTCCCTTCCCAGGCTCAGGGGAGCCATGGGGGTTTCTGGCAGGGTATTTCCAGTGGGGGTTTCCTGCCCCCCCAACAACATATGGGACCCCTCCCACCTGGAGATCCCCAGCAGGTACCAGATGCACAGCACCCTCCCCGCCCCGCCTTGCCCCCAGTCCTGCCTGTTCTCCTCACTCCCAACCTGCAGCCTCCTGTCCCCTCAGCCCTGCTGGGGCCTCTCACTCCCGACCTGTAGCCCTCCCACCCCCCCAGCCCTGCTGGTGCTCCTCACTCCTGACCTGCAGCCCCCTGCCCACCAGCCTTGCTGGTGTGTCTCACTCCTGACCTGCAGCCCCCTGACTCCCCCCCCAGCCCTGCTGGTGCCCCCCCTTTCCTGCCAGTCACTTCCCAGCCGGGTGGCGCTGACTCAGCCCGTGTAGACATGAGTACCGTCACCCCCAGCCTGGGATACAGCACGTTCCCTTACGGGGGGGTGGCGTCCAGAGTGTGGGGAGGGCAGGACCCGTGCATCTGTGTAGGGAGGGGTCCCATGGATGGGGGGAGTGTGGAAGAGGGGCCCCAAAGCCGTGGGGAGCCCTCTGGGACAGGTGGGGGGGACAAGGTTTCTGGGGGCAGGAGG